TAAAACAGAGTATGGTGGAATTCAGAGATGATGAGTGAAACTTTAGCACAGTGGGAACATTTGATCAAACATGTTTACATTATTACCATAACTTTGTGTGCATGAAGATTAAATCCTGAAGAGAAAAGATAGGAAGAAAGGCATAAATTAACTAAAACAAGGAGTGTTATGCATCTGGTGCATTACAGTAAATTGAAAGGCAGGCAGAGGGTCTACCTCATGCATATGCAATATCATCTTGTGACCCACTGTAGTGTTAATATTATTAAAAATATTAAACACTGTATTATTCTTTTCACCTGGGGGCAATTCAGGGCCCCATACAAATCACATTTTCATGGCTTCTTGTTTCTCTGTAAGTGTGATTCATGAAAAATTGTTCCGCCTGTCGAGTCTAAAACAGAAGATAAGTTGATTAAAGGCTTTTTAAAGCTTCCCAGTTCTTTACACAAGTTTATTTGAAATACTACAGGAATAAATATCTAAAGAACGATGCTTTAGGAAAGGTTACCACCATGGTTGTAACATGGTTTATTTATTTGCATATAATACAATACAATATGTGTGTCTGCTATATACATTATTTTATGATCAGTGGCTCACCGTCATAGAGTTACTATCCATATACCGGACTATATATATATGTGTGTGTGTAATTCCATTCAAATGACGTTGCAACGTCTTTTTGCAACGAAACCTTCCTTTTCTGTGTTTTTTTTCTTGTTCCTCACTCATTTTCAGGTTGTGGTTGATGACTAGCAAGGGCGGGACCTGGTTTGGTTGTTTGATGAACTAACGTAATGACAACACTCAAACAATATGTTTTGCACTATTTATAGTGAGTGCACTGCTAAGCCAAGTTGTTGTTCTAAAACAAACCTGAAATGTTTCAGAAATCTCTCGTCCACCACTTACAAAAGACTTTCTGATACTTTTTAAAACTGAAATTATGTGAACTGTACATGTACAGACTGAACACCCTGTTTTTTTCCCAGTCAGCCACCAGTGGAGGTGGATGCACTTGCACATACAACATTATCTAAAAGCCTGTTTTTCTCTCCTTCAAACTGATCCCACTGCTGATGCAGAGTCAGACAGGATCAGCTCATGGTTATTCTGCGGCAGTGTTGTGATATGCACAACATTCCTAGCTAATGGCTGCTCCCAATATCTCTGTGCTTATATCATGTCAAGGACAGACTGGAGATTCAAGGATTGCACCCAGCAATAGTACAAGCCATCCAATGCTTGCATGACCAGCTCGAGTAACTGACACACAAACTCTCCTCTTTTTTTGCTAGAGACTTGTCTGTCAGTTCCAAATATCAAAGTGTATGTGTCAGCTATCTCTAGTCATAAGTGGCTTGGAGAGAGGTGCTTTTTAGCAACCGTCTCCTGAAATAGTGTTTCCTGCTTGGAGTGAAGTGGCAGCATCCTGTAACATTCTCCTCTGTCCCTCAGTGGGATTTGCCAGTCGTGCTCAAGGCCCTGTCAAGGAGGCTGTTCAAGCCCACTGGACAGATACCTTTAAGGCCAGTGTCCATCAAAAAAGGATTCCTTCTTCGGTCCATCTAAGACCTATCAGAATCTGAGTTGCACTATACTCACACAAAACTCACACAAAACTCATTCTTTGCCCAAGAACACTGATCCTTGGATGGTGCCGCTCGATGTCCTTTAGGAAAAAACCTAAATAATTTGTTCCCACTGCAGGATTTGGCATACTGTTTGGAACACACAACATCTCACTGGTAAAATCCAGCCCAAAACAGAGGCTTGCCAATTAACTGTCTGAAGATGTTTCACAGGCCTGTTAGTGGACAGACCCTCCTCTGGTGGATCATGTGCCCTTCACAAGGAGTCTGGCAGCATTAACAGACTTGTTTGGTGGAACATTTGTGGTTGGAGAGTTGTGGACTAGCATAAGGTATGGCAGTCAGCCCAGATTTTTAGGCAAAATCTGCTGCCATTGCATGGAGTTAAAGGGGTGTATTTTTTGGTGATGTATTTATGTCTCACTGCTTGCTTGCACTCAGTGCTAAGAAGAGGCTCATAGGTGTCACGTATTGCAGAGCAGTGTTTTCTGCTTGAGAAGAAAAACTGATTGTGCACTGCTGGTCATTGATGGCCTACTGTGGAAATATCTTCTACAGACTCTGTATGGTATGTGTGATCCTAACTCTGACATCTGATCATGTGCTGGGGCAGTGTACTGACCTGTGTTTTATAGGCAATCCACTGTTTGCTTTTATAGTGTAATGTAATGAGACAGTTCCTGAGAGAGATATGTCACCAACCTCCTATCTGCTTAGTGGTAAGAATGATAAGAATGTGCATTCCGATGATGGTGAAGGCTTTGTGACGGGTCTGCGCATGGCACTAGAAAAAAACGTGTGGATGTAGAGTACAAGTGCTTACGATGGCTGAATACTGATGCTAGGCTTGTGTCAGACAGTTCATCTAAAAAGGCAGCAAGGATGTAGGAGTGCAGCATTTATTCTGGTTGACTTGTAACATATCAATCAATTGATGTGGTGTATTGTACTATTCACCCTCTTGCCCTCTGCAGAGCAGTTAGTCTGCCCCAGAATGGCAGCAGACAGGTGAGACATTGTTGAATCAATGTCACAGCAGGTGATTCAGACCTCATCTTCTATAGGGTCCTTTTAAATGATGAAGACTGTCTGAATAGAACAAAGGCTACATATTGTGTTCTTTTGCTATTTGGAAGCTACTTGAAACCATATTGTCTGCCACACCATTAGTCACTAAGAGCTGAATGGATTAGTAACAGAAAGTAAGGCCATTATATACGTTATGCTCATCCTCTATAGGGTTAAACTAATTCATACTGATTGATCGACTGCCCAATCATCTGACTGTCTCCCCTGTCACATCTGTTATGTCACATAATTACCACCACACCTTGAATCAGGGTCTCTTAACATATCTACAGTCTCTTACTTCCCATTTTTCTCAAACATACTAAAAAGAGTTGTGTATCAGCAGCTTTCAGCCCACATAGCTAACAATCATGTTTTTGAACCTTTTCAGTCTGCTTCCAGGGCCCATCACTCCACTGAAACTACACTTGCTTAAGTGGTAAATTATCTTCTGCTTACTATGGAGTCAGATTACACCTCTATGCTTCTCTTATTTGATCTCAGTGAGGCTTTTCGTGCCTTAGATCACTGTATACTCCTAGACTGACTGGAAAACCAATTTGGCAACTCCGACCTGGTTCTCAATTACTTATCTGAAAGAACACAGTTTGTTTCCTAAATTAATACGACATCAATATTTTGAAATGTGAAATACGGAGTACCCCAGGGCTCTGTTCTTGGCCCTCTGCTTTTCTCCATATATATTTCACCTCTTTGCCAAATCAGTTTCCACTGTTACACTGATGATACTTAGCTTTATGTTCCTGTAAAAGCACATGACCCTTCTCAATTAGAAGCTGGCTGTGAAAAGCTGGATGCCTGACATAGACACCAATTTGACCAAGTAACAGTAACCCTCAACAACTGCGTGTATGACAGCCACAAACCGTGATGTTACATTACTTATTTGTTTTCAACTTAATCCAGAAGATTTGACCACATTACTTCAATTTTACTTCTCTCCTTTGGATCACTATCAATGTCGGATCAGAGTTTAAGGTGCTTCTCATGACATACAAAATCATAAATGGACAGGCCCCTACCTGTCTGATCTCCTTATATTCCATCCAGTGCTGCTTGCTCTCAGAATACAGGGCTCCTGTCTGTTCCTAGAGTTGAAAAACGTCAGCAGGCTTCAGGGCCTTTTCTTATCGTCCCCCTTTCCACTGGAACAACCTCCCTGCTGACATCAGACTGTCTGACTTTATTGAGGGATTTAAATCCAAACTTGAAACTCATCTTTATGCCTTATCTTCCTGTTAGTGGCTCACTCTTTGATTATTCGGGTTGGTCTCGGTCTTCATGGTGGTGAGGAGGCTGTGTGGCTCTTGTCCTATCTGTTGGCTGCACCTGGAAGTTGCTCAATGTCCTCTCGGATCATATTCTTCACCATGCTGTAAATCTACTTTGTTGCTCTATTCTGTACACACAACATCTATTGCATGTCTGCCCTGGAGGAGGGATCCCTCCTCTGTTGCTCGCCCTGAGGTTTGGGATATTTGGCTATAAAAATACTTGACTTACAAAGTATTTATATAAACTTGATTGTAGATCCAAATTTTTAGTCAGTAGATTTAAAGATGGAGCGTTGGTTTCTTACACTGTGTTTGTTAATTCATGTTCTGGCATGAATATTGGGATATTACTAAATTAAAAACAACCTATTTTGACACAGTCCTTATGCTCATTAGTTTGGTTGTGGCCTATAGTTTGGTTTGACAGCACTGAGCAGGTATTACAAAGGTCCTGTCACACATTGTTTATGTTTTGCTCTCATTTGCACATTACATTTGCATCTGGCGAGTCAACACAATGTAGACGCTCATTTTACACACTATATTCAATATCAGTGCAATGAGCTCTTTGGTGCCATGCATGGCTTCCCTGAATTAATTAGAAGAAGGCAACACTAAGGACTCTTGGTAAATTAATGTCATTAGTGTGGAGAATTATGGTGTAATGATCAGTGCCTAGTTCTCTGGACAGTAGTAAAAAAAGGACTGAAACTAATGTGATTTAAGCTTATGAGGAAAATAATATATATATAGTAAAAATACAATACAAAGGCAATGAGAACATGGGAAATGCTGAATGAGAATGTATGTTTATGCTGTGTGTGTTTGTGTTTATGTGGTGACATTGGCAAGATCTAAAATTAAAATTCAAAGTTTGCCTTTTGTTTATATTTTTTTCCACTGAAAGTTTGAACTCCAAAAAATATAATTGCAGGGAATATGCTGTAGTGAATTATATGAAATATCCGTGTTCTGCAACCACCATTAGAAACATATTGAAGAAAAAGTAAAGTAAGAAGTGGATGCTGTCGGAGAAACTGACCTTGAACAGACGCAAAATGTTGGCTACCATGATTGACACGGAGCTGGCAGATGCACCAATCACTCCCACCACTCTCTCAGGCTTAGTGATGATGGGCGGCCCTCCGCTGAGACACTTGACATCAGTCGAGTCTTTCTCAATCAGCGCCTGAACAAATGTCAGTGACTGTTCCAGAGCATGGGTGTCCCGGGAGCAGGTGTCCAGGATGCGTGCCCCTAGAGTGATATTAGGCAGCAGCTCATTGTCATTATTGATACGATCCAGGGCAAATAACATGGCCTCCAGCCTATGGATCCCTTTCTCCTTCTTCAGCTCGCCACAGGCTTTGCCGTCGTTCCCTCTCGCATGCACTGGGAACAGTCCACCCAGAGATATGTCGCCATCAATGCGTATTGAATTGAGGTGTGTGTGGCCTGGCATTTTGGGTTTGGCTGCCAAGGCGATCAAGAAATAACAAGCCAGCAACAACACCCAGCAGCAGACACTTCTATGGCAGCCAATCCACACTCTCTCAAAGCCTCCTCGCAGAGTCATAATGAAAGGCTAAATCCGCATCCAAATACAAATTCAAGTCCTTTGAAAATGAAAGACGTGCACACGCATATAACCACACACACATACAAATGTCCTGAAGGTTAGCTGCAATATTTTCTCAGAGCACAGTCGTCTTTAGAAGTCTCTTCTCATGGTTCCTAGCTCTGACACAAACTCGGTAATACTAATTATGCTGCCTGGCTCTCTTTATCTCTTACCCTTTCTTCTTTCCTCTTTGTGTTTCACTCTTTTCCTGCACCTGTGAGTGGTGGCTACATGCGGTAACTAAACAGTGCACAGTGGGCTGAGACAGCGTCCACAGAGAGCCTTCTCATGAAGCAAGAACAAAGGTGGGAAGTTTGCCCCTCTTCTCTCCTTCTCCAGAACCACTCGGGTGCATTTAGTTTTCCTTCGAGCAGGCAGAATGTCAAGAGACAAGCCAGTAGGCTCCACAGCGGGCTCCTGAAAAAGAAAGGAGAGATGTGTGAGACACTGACAATACAGCAGAAAGAACAACTTCTGGAAATAAAAGGAAAGGAAAAATGACATAGAATCACATTAATCTGGTTTTAACAAAATATGTGTTTATCCAGGGGTTTGCCTTGTCTTCATCTACAACACAGAGGACATTTTATCTCTGTTGTGGAGTCTCCTACAAAGTCCTACTTGTGTCAGTGGATGGGAGATGAGCTTCAAAGTCTTGCTCTCCATATTGTAATTACCATCATATTCAGAACTACACTGCACATTTGCAGTGGACAGTCCTAGAGTTCCAGTCCAGTTTCTAGATCCTAAAATTCAAGCAGAAATAATACCTAGGCCATGCACTCCACACAGGAAATCTGTTCTGTGTTGCACCCATGCCTCAACTGCTTTCAGAGCACTGCAATGAATTATTTCTATGTGCCTTGAGCATAACTGATTCTCTGCTGCTTGGCACTGTTCCATAGACTTCATAGCCCCACACTGTTCTGCTCATGTAGATCGTCTCCAGAGTGTTTAACCAAAAAGTTATGAAATATGGTGCTAAATTAATAGCACAGGATTCTGTTAATCAAAGAAACACTATTCCTCCTCTCTTCGCACATCCGATGTATCAACAGCGGACTGGGTGCAGTATGTGTTTGTGTGTGTGTTTGTGTTTGTGTGTGTGTGTGTGTGTGTGTGTGTGTGTGTGTGTGTGTGTGTGTGTCAGTGTGTGCGCGCCTGCATATTCCCTCAACAGTAGGTTGGCTTCCTCCACAGTGTCAGACTAATAGAGCGGTGGATCTGGCCACAGTGGGAGAGGCCTGCTGCTCGCTCTCTCCCTCTCTTTCTTTCAATTGACCATCAACACACATATCTGTCGGGCTTTACTTCATGCTGCGTTTGTATGCTAACACACAGACTCCCGCCGTGCTCTAACAGAGGACACAAAGGGCAAAAACTCATTCAGGATCAGAAAGTTGCACTACATTGCAGAAGCTGTCAAACCCATCACTGTGGAGCAGTGAGATTTTGCAATTATTTTAATGCAGACAGAGGTGTAGTGGCTTTGTAGTAATGGTTCTTTTTCATCATCTCAAATCTTTTCTCCTAACATTAAATTTGGTGAACTGTATCATTGAGGTGTCAAGAGATTTGCCACAACTCATCAATTAAAGAGAGCTTTGCCATCTGCTAGTCACGTGCACATCTTTTCTTTCTTTAACTTTGGAAATAAAATCAAATAATAAAGATGCCCTGCTTTAACACGTTCACGGTGGCCTGTCTTGTGCTGTTTCTCCGATCCTGCTGGGAACCAAAAGGAGATATTTATATCATCCTGCACAGATCATCCCCTTAAAACATAGCATCCATAATGGATGAATGCCTACCAGTCGCTGCAAAACATCTCGTTCTAGGGGAAAGCCTAGAAGAGAAGGAAAAAGAAAGGGTGGCTACACAGGCCTGGTCTTTTGCAAAAGAGTAGAAAACAGGCAAACAGGTAGGAAACTACCACACATGCTCACTGGGGAGAATGGGTAATGATAAGGAAGCGACACCTGCTTTTTAACCACAATTAAAAGACTTTTTTTTACAAAAGCACCACAAAAGGGAAATGGCCCATATTGCGGGGACCATAATAATTCTCCAGAGCACTCTGTGCTTTACTTTGAAAAGATTAGCAGCATTTGTTGCTTCATTTTTGCTTTGGTTGCGTAGGCAATAATGCCCACAAATGATCATTTTCTATGAGATCATAATCTGAGTCTGAAAATGAAGGGGAAGAGCTGTAGGGAAGGAATGTGCTTCTTATTTCAAATCAGCCCATCCTGCATAATTGTGATTATAAACTAATAAAGCCACAGTTCACCGCTCAGCAAAGCAAGCAGATAAACATCTTGAGTGCCGGACAGTGCTCTGGTAACTGAGGCAGGTTGTAGCCTTGACAACTCGGAGATAAAGTCCTCCCTGCCTCTAGAGATCTTGTTGGAAGGGGTGGACAGAAGTGCCCCTTCATTGTCATCACTCTGTGAAACACTGCATGCACAGTGGCAGCTTTACCAGATGTTTAGTCACAAGGCCCAGATGGGCAGAGCAGATAAACATCAGCTGTCTGCAGAGAGTGGGAGTTAGGGGGAAATTGCAGAATCCTCACAGCAACCGTCTCTCCTCACTGTGACGAGGAGGAACTCCAGCTTCCCCTGCTCTCGACCACACTCCCCTGCTGCTGTGTGCACCGCCAGACTAATGACTGATAGAGCTAAAGGTTTTACTCCAGTGAGGCTTTCACTAATGTGGAATTACTCATTGCTATAGAATAAACTTTTGAATAGTGTGTGTGTGTGTGGGGGGGGTGTGTGTGTGTGTGTGTGGGGGGGGGGGGGGGGGGACGGAACAAGCCTTTTTTTGTCAGCATTTGTGTACTTATACATGGTTGAGTAAGTAATAGTGATTAATTAAAGATAAATTAATCACAATTAAAATCTGTCTGTTTACATCGTACAGCAAATTAATCAGAGTTACAACAGTAAATAGCCAATAAAGCCATCTCACAAATGTTCAGTTAATTTACAACATGTTTTTCACTTTAAATTGGCTTCAAGGAAAGAAGTGCAAACATGTGGGTGAGCAGTTTTGAAGGAAACAGTGATTTAAGGTCATTTCATGCTCTCCTCACATGTGCAGTTGATATTAAAAAGTCAGTGATAAATCAAATGAAGGGTCATGTATTATGGCTGATTAGTTAATCTAATCATTAACTACTACTTCTTCACAGTTGCCAAATGACAACTGTGAAGGAGTAGTAGTAATGATTAGATTTTATTTTTTAGATTTTGTCACCTTAGTTCTGTTTGTCTTACTAATTGTTTCCAGAGCAATAAATTTTGTTTATCCTTTCTTACTTTTTAAAAAAGAAATTATTTTATTTTGAATAAAGGCTCTTTTTCAGAAGCACCACACGCACTCTCTTCTGACATATTAATTGGTTGCAATATACTTGAATTTGTTACAAGCATGGAAAAGTTAAATGCCCACTAGGGAATTTCTCTTGGGGATTTAACAAAGTATTGGAGAGCTGGAAAAAGATTAGATGCTCAAATGAAGGGACATATAAGAACCGCCTCTAAAACACTTCAGAAAAGTACAAATCTTTTCTCTTTGAGAACTGATCAAAGATTCCTGACAGCAATTCTAAATTTTGAATCAGGCGTTGGCTTCTCACCAACCACCACCAAGTCAGGCAAACTTCCACCAAGCGAGCCTGTTTCTGACGTTATTCACCCAATAAGTGGCATCTGCCCTTGTATACATTTTTTTGTCTCAATGTTTACACCAAATCTGGTGTTAGTTTTAGCTTGAGATTCATCTCACACTATACACATGAAAAAGACATCACAGTAATTATGACAGCCACACTCAACCGCATCCTGTTCATCCAGTTAAAACGCTGCTCTTTATCATGTGAATCACATTGTAGCATCAAGCATCAAGGCCATATTTATAGTTTAAAGTTTATCCATGCAACAAATGGCAGTCAGTGTCTCCTATGCAACAAGAAGTTAGATGCATGTCGTAGAATACTAGAAAAGATTTAACATTTCAACCAAGCAATAACACCCACAAAAAGCCATACAACCAAGCAAACCAGTGTAATAATAATAATAATAATCTGTACAGAAAATACTGGCGAGCAAGTGTACAACCTTTTTAGAATGATTTGATGTTGTCATGTTTTGCTGTTTTATTCATTCTGTCGAAAATCTGAAAAACACCGGAGAGATAAAACGAGACCCACCCCTCATTTTCACATCCTGTCATCTCTGCAAAGCCTCACAATGACATGCGTCCTGCTAATAGGTCCGTCAGAGTGGAGCTGGGCACCATTTGACAGTGATGTCCTAATCCGACAGGGAACTGCTGTTTTGGCCGTTATGCTTCAGCAGAGGAGATACTTAGGCCCAAAAGGCCAGTATGATCACAGCAAAGAATGGAGATAAAGTTCTCAGTAGAGGGAGTGTTACGCTGCCTGCCTGCCTGCCTGCATGTCTGTCTGCTGGTCTGCTTAAAATACAGATGTTTTGCAGCATCAGAATTGTTGTTTGCTCATATTTTCATAATGTTCACTACCTTTTGTACATGATCAGGTACTATATAAATTTACCTGCATAAGAGAAAAAAAGGAAGGCTAAGAAAAGTAAAAATTGATGCAGTAGCTTCTTGTGACTGCACAGCTTTTTTAAGGTACTTGTTGTTTGAACATTGATGGATTTCTGGACTTTTAAAATGAGAAAACAGAGGAGAGAATTGTAATGTTCAACCGCCTTTGTATCATTTTTCTGTGACACTGACAGTTTCTGCAGAAATAGAAAAGAAAAAGGAGCTTAATTATTATTGCCATCAAACTGATGAGTGTGACCATTGTTTTTTAGACAATAAAGGCATTGGGTAAAGAAAAAAAAACCTGTCCTCATTGCCAATGAGAGTAGTGACAGATCCTCTAAAAGCAGTGACTCACTGGCTGTTATATTTGAGAA